TACATAGAAAGAGATAATACATTTGCTCCAGTCGTGTATTACCAAAGGTAAACAACTTTCATAAGTTAAAATATTGCACTTACTACATTCCAAAAATAGTTAAGCCTTATTTAAAATAGCCTTTCAGTGAAACAGATATCACAGGTGCTCTCACCACCTCCGGATCTGCCGGACAGAATGCCATCTCGTCACTTCTGGTCCACCGCACCATCACACCCTGACATGTTTCATCGTACCTGACTTAATCATAGGGATGACCGTGTGGTGCAGCACATCACTTATATAGACACACTTTAATTAACCCACCAGATGCTTAGTTAAGTTTAATTGGTTCACCGTCCCACAGGAAACAGATCATATTGTCTCACAGGAAATGATGCATCAAACTGGCAACATAGAGTGCCATCTACTAAATACTATGAGCAAATACCCTAAAAACAATGGACAAATAATACCTTATCGGCAATGCCTGCATATTAATCGCATGGACATACTCAGATGGCTATTACCAACCATCTCCAACCATTTCTGCACTGAGAGTCACAAAGGATTCACATTGTGGACAATTTTTTTTTTTTGGATGATTTTTTTTTGTTTTTTAATTCATTATTGATTACACTGGACCTATATTTTATGGTGTTTTGTGGGCACTATTAGAACATATATAGTTTTTTTTTATTTTTTTCACATATAATTTTTGTTACTTAAATATTTGTGTAAATAAGTTTGCATATAGAGACCATATGTGTGTGACACATATATAATGCGCCTCTAATTATCTCTAATATTAGGAGTGCTATTTTTTGGAATAAGAAATGCATATATACCTATGAATAGCTGCCATTACCAGCCATGGTTGAACAATATTCCAAGGGGACAGTTTATGCGGTTAAAAAGAAACTGTACGAAGAATTAAGGATTATAGGGAACAAAGTGCAATATTAACACAAAGATTTATAGATAAAGGATATAATTTAGAGAAAATTGAGAGAGAAATATAGTAGGACAAATGCTTATAAAAAAAAAACAAAAAGCAGTCAGAGAAAATTTGGAGGTACCAGTAGTCCTGCAATACAATAGACAGTATAAAGCAGTACAAAAAATAATCACTAAGCATTGGAATGTGTTAAAATTTGACAAACATTTAAAAAAACATTATTCCTGAAAAACCTAAATTTATTTACAGAAAAGCTCCAAATCTGAGAAGTAAAGTGGTGAAAAATATTCTAGAGCCACCAACACAAGCTACTAATATGATTTTTTTCCAAGGAGTAGGTGCTGTTACAGTTGTAGTAGGTTACTTATTAACCCAAGACTGAGATTTAAGTTCTATAATACGCATAATAAAGAATATAGGATAAAACAGTTTAAAACAGTTTCATGTGACACAAAAGGGGTGATATATGCCCTTAGATGTCCGTGTAATTTATTATATATAGGATGCACTAAAAGGACCCTGAAAGAGCGGATCAAGGAACATGTTTATAATATAAACAGAGGATATAAATATCATCATGTATCGCAACACTTTCGTCAGTTTCACAATAAAGATGCTAGACAGTTAGAATTTTGGGGCACTGAAAAACATATTTGCCATTGGAGAGAAATCAGTAAGAGAGAATCCAAATGGATACATGAAATGAGATGTCTAGCCCCTATGGGCCTGAAAAAAGAATTTGATTTGTCATGTTTTTCTAGCAATCATTAGATGCATATTAATTTTAGAGACATCTCATTATATCATGGTTATTACTAATGTTAGTGCTAAGCATTTTTAATATTTTATACTTAAATAAAAAAAAAATGTATAGTCTTTTTTTACATAGTTTTAGACAGTTTTAGAACTAAAGAGGTAGTAGTTACAATGATCTGACACTAGTCTAATTATAATAAAAATATAATAACTAAAAGTAAAAGATTAAATTAATAGCTGGATGTAAGGGCATAATAAACGTGAGGTAAGGGGAATATGATTTATATACACAATTTATATACATAAAGATATGATTTATTTAGGGTTTATAATATGTGGTTTTAATTTAGGGTGATTTTAATAGTTTATTATTATTTTAATTAACCAAATTTTAACATTTAATAAAGATTTGTAATATTTTAAGTGTGTTTGTATGTACTATTAAAAGATTATCATTATGTTGATGGTTTCAAAATATAATATAGTTAGCAATGCATATAAACACATGTTAATTTATTTAGTAATGCACAGTATGTTAATTCTCAGTGGTGCTTCCCATGCATGTATTAACCAGCCCTGGTGGAGCAGTGACACCATCCAAGAGGACCACGGCAAAATGGCGCCCAAATGCCCTATATGAGGCTATGAGCATTGTGCCGTCCAATTAAATGCCCCTGATGAAGCAACATGACCTGGTGGTGTAACGTGTAGGGGACGGGCTCTTACATCACGACGCTAGTAGGAATTACACGGCGAGTACAGAGAGTGTGTAGAGCACATACAGAGGATCCGCTCAATGACCCCCCCCCCAGGCCCCCATGCATTTATGTTCTTTTTTTTTAACTGCGTATGATAAATCTTATCCAGCAGCGCTGCACACTTTCAGAATAAACAGATCAGTGCTGCAGCTGCATGGCATTCCTGCAAAGAAAACAACAATGGTTAAACAATAAAACAGTAACAGTAGCTCAATAAAACAACTCTTTTTGGCTTTATTTATTTTTTTTTACTTTTTACATTTTTGGGGTTTTACTATTTCCATAAGAAGTTTATTAACAGAATGGAAAAGGCAGCTGAACAAACCTAACAGAATCAGTATGCACAATACAGAACAGAAAAGTACATAATACATCCGAGTGTGGAGAAGAATAAACAAAATGTCACATAACTGCAAACAATAACATATATACAATCCAATAACAATTAGTCAGAAACAGTAGCTAGGAGATTTTGACCAGAACAAGAAGGCTGTGATATCCTGTCAGATGCTTGTCTGGACAGCGGGCATAAGAGAAAAAGCAGCCTTGGGTCGCTGATGGAAAACATTGCGGGGAAAAAAAGAGAAAGAAAATTAAGATAAAATGGGGGGGGGGGGGGGGGGGAGAGAAAAGAATAAGGAAGGGAAAAGGGAAGGAGTGGAGTTGGTGGGAAAAGAGGAGTAGAGGAGAGGATAGAAGGAAGGGGATGGGGATAGATGGTGGGTGTTGTCAGGGCTCCGGGTATGACCAGAGGTATGTGAACTGACACAGGGAAACGCAGGCTTCAGATATGTTATAAACAATATAATTTATTAATACTAACAATACAAAACGCAGTGCAATACTAAAACATAAACACAGTACAAACGAACCAAACCAAACCACCCACAGATAACAATACATACAATGCAAGTGTAGTCAGGCAGGCCGGGTCAATAACAATCGGGCAGGTAGGAACAGGAGGAGCAGACAGAGAGTAGTCAGGTCACGAGCCGGGGTACAGCAACTAACGGGCAGGTAGGTACAGGGGGTCAGGCAGAGAATGGTTGGGGTCACAAGCCAGGGATCAAACAGGAGAAGTCAGCAGAGGTCAGGATCAGGCAGGGTCGGCAACCAGTCAGTCAGGCAGGAACAGGACCAGGAATGCAGGTAACAAGATACAGGGGCCCATGGAAAAACACACACCCAAGGCACAGACTGCAGGTCTGGCCATCCCTTAAATACACCTCCGTAATCAGCTTCAGGTGTTTGGCTGACTGCAGGGTTGAGTCTCTGATTGCTGAGAGCACCTGCTGGCCAGCCCTGGTACTGCAGCCCACAAGGCAGGCGAGTCCCACCATTATTGGCAAGTCCATTCCTGACAGTACCCCCCCCTCAAGGAGCGGCCTCAGGGCACTCCAAACAGTCCTAGCTGGGCAAAATGTTCCACCGCCCGGGTCTGGTAACTGGTGGGATATCAAAGACTGGCACATCGGGCCAGACTCCGGGCAGAGGCACATCGGGCCAGACTCCGGGCAGAGGCACATCGGGCCGACCCCGGGGCAGAGGCACACCGGGCCGGACCCCGGGCAGAGGCACATCGGGCCGGACCCCGGGCAGAGGCACATCGGGCTAGGCACCGGATCACCAGGCGGAGCAGCAGGCACCGGGCCACCAGGCGGAGCGGCATTCACCGGGCCACCAGGCGGGGCGGCAGGTACCGGGCCACCAGGCGGAGCGGCGGGCGCCGGGCCCCCAGGCAGAGCGGCGGGCGCCGGGCCCCCAGGCGGAGCGGCGGGCGCCGGGCCCCCAGGCAGAGCGGCGGGCGCCGGGCCCCCAGGCGGAGCGGCGGGCGCCGGGCCCCCAGGCGGAGCACCGGGCCCCCAGGCGGTGCGGCGGGCGCCACGCCCCCAAGGCGGGGGGCAGTGGGCACCGGGCCACCAGGCACCGGATCACCAGGCGGAGCAGCAGGCACCGGGCCACCAGGCGGAGCGGCGGGCACCGGGCCCCCAGGTGGAGCGGCGGGCGCAGGGCTCCCAGGTGGAGCGGCGGGTGCCGGGCCCCCAGGCGGAGCGGCGGGTGCCGGCCCCCAGGCGGAGCGGCGGGCCCCCAGGCGGAGCGGGCCCCCAGGAGGGGCGCAGGCACCGGCCCTCAGGAGGGGCGGCAGGCACCGGGCCCCCAGGCGGGGAGCAGGCACTGGGCCCCCAGGCGGAGCGGCGGGCACCGGGTCATCAGGCACGACAGCGGGCATCGGGTCACCAGGCATCAGGTCATTTGGCTTGCCAGCGGGCACCGCGTCATCTGGCAAGGCAGTGGGCACCGAGTCACCAGGCACGACAGTGGGCTCCGAGTCAACTGGCATGACCGCGGGCATGGGGTCAGACATTGGATTGTCTGGCTCGACAGCGGGCATCGGGTCACCAGGCATCAGGTCACCAGGCACCGCTTCATCTGGCAAGGCAGTGGGCACCGAGTCACCAGGCACGACAGTGGGCTCTGAGTCAATTGGCACGACAGCGGGCACCGGGTCATCAGGTACCGGATCGTCTGGCTTGACAGCAGGCACCGAATCATCTGGCGCTGGATCGTCTGGCTCGACAGCGGGCATCGGGTCACCAGGCATGACAGCGGGCACTGGGTCATCAGGCATTGGATCGTCTGGCTCGACAGCGGGCATCGGGTCACCAGGCATGACAGCGGGCACCGGGTCATCAGGTACCGGATCGTCTGAATCGACAGCGGGCACCGGGTCATCTGGCGTTGGATCGTCTGGCTTGACAGCGGGCATCGGGTCACCAGGCATGACAGCGGGCACTGGGTCAGGCATTGGATCGTCTGGCTCGACAGCGGGCATCGGGTCACCAGGCATGACAGCGGGCACTGGGTCATCAGGCATTGGATCGTCTGGCTCGACAGCAGGCCTTGGGTCACCAGGTATGACAGCGGGCACTGGGTCATCAGGCATTAGATCGTCTGGCTCGACAGCGGGCATCGGGTCACCAGGTATGACAGCGGGCACTGGGTCATCAGGCGTGATAGGATCATCAGGTGGGATCAGTTCATCAGGCTGGGTATAGACATCAGGCTGGGTAGAGACATCAGGCTGAAATGCGGGTGCCGAGGCACCAGGCTGAACCACGGAAGGCAGGTTCTCAGACGGCAGGCTCACCGGTTTGGATACTGGCAGGATGGTACTGGTTGGAAAGAATTTTCGCTTTTTCCTGGTTTTAGTTACCGGAGCACTGTAAGTAAGCGCAGGTTTGTAAACGGATGGAGCAGCTGAAGACAGAGAAGAGCTGGAGGATGGAACAGAGGAGGGAGCAGTTGCTACAGAGGACTTCTTTACAGGGTTAAAGAAAGGATAGGTGCAGCGAGTGGGAGCAGAGGACTGATATGTGGTAGTTAGCAGAGTATACTGGGCCGTCGCTGGGGGTGCTGTCGGGGGTGTAGGAAGAGTGCCTTGAGCGGAGGAATGACGTTGTAAGCTGACTGAGGCTGGGTGCAACAAGTCTGACCATGTCTGCAGTATGGGTTGAACAAAGCTCAGCTTACACAAAGCCTGTCTGGTCAGAGACTGCACTGCGTTTATACAATCCCTTAAATACCTGTTGTGAACATGCAGCATAATGCTCCAAGAAGCAATCCACATCATCCTCCAATAACCACACCAGGGACTCTACCTGGTCGGCACTAAATGGCGGCAAAAATTCATCCCTGCTTTCAGGGGTACCAGATGAAGCCAACTCTACATAAAACCTGAATCAAAGGTTGCACCTCAGAGAACTCTGTGCCCTGATCTACTAGAACAGGGGTGGCCAACCTGCGGCTCTCCAGCTGCTGCAGGACTACAAGTTCCATCATGCCTCTGCAAGTCAGTAACTTCCCATCTTTGCAATGCCTCATGGGAAATGTAGTTCCACAACAGCTGGAGAGCCACAGGTTAGCCACCCCTGTACTAGAACATGAGTAATCCGTATACATTCTAGCAGTTGATCCCGGGTATACTCCCTCAGAGTCTGATAAGTATATTCTCTGTCATCAAAAACCAGCAGCGACAAATACACAACCTCATCAAGATCCATCCTTCCCAGCAACAAGCCAAGATGGCTTCCATGTGCAGCCACTTCTGGTCAGGATTGGCCTTGGTGTAATGTCAGGGCTCCGGGTATGACCAGAGGTATGTGAACTGACGCAGGGAAACGCAGGCTTCAGATATGTTATAAACAATATAATTTATTAATACTAACAATACAAAATGCAGTGCAATACTAAAACATAAACACAGTACAAATGAACCAAACCAAACCACCCACAGATAACAATACATACAATGCATGCGTAGTCAGGCAGGCCGGGTCAATAAACAATCGGGCAGGTAGGAACAGGAGGAGCAGGCAGAGAGTAGTCAGGTCACGAGCCGTGTACAGCAACTAACGGGCAGGTAGGTACAGGGGGTCAGGCAGAGAATGGTCGGGGTCACAAGCCAGGGATCAAACAGGAGAAGTCAGCAGAGGTCAGGATCAGGCAGGGTCGGCAACCAGTCATTCAGGCAGGAACAGGACCAGGAATGCAGGTAACAAGATACAGGGGCCCATGGAAAAACACACACCAAGGCACAGACTGCAGGTCTGGCCATCCCTTAAATACACCTCCGTAATCAGCTTCAGGTGTTTGGCTGACTGCAGGGTTGAGTCTCTGATTGCTGAGAGCACCTGCTGGCCAGCCCTGGTACTGCAGCCCACAAGGCAGGCGAGTCCCACCATTATTGGCAAGTCCATTCCTGACAGTACCCCCCCTCAAGGTGCGGCCTCAGGGCGCTCCAAACAGTCCTAGCTGGACAAAATGTTCCACCGCCCGGGTCTGGTAACTGGTGGGATATCAAAGACTGGCACATCGGGCCGGAATCCGGGCAGAGGCACATCAGGCCGGACTCCGGGCAGAGGCACATCGGGCCGACCCCGGGCAGAGGCACACCGGGCCGGACCCTGGGCCGAGGCACACCGGGCCGGACCCCGGGCTGAGGCACACTGGGCGGACCCCGGGCAGAGGCACATCGGGCCGGACCCCGGGCAGAGGCACAGCGGGCCGGACCCCGGGCAGAGGCACATC